AAAAAAAAAAAAAAAACCACAACATATCACCTTGTATTTATGTGATTCACGGTGAAGCTGTTTGAGCTGCGTGGCCAACTCCATGAACTGCCGCATCATGCCGTCGATACGGGCGTGTAAATCTCTGTACTCCTGGTACTCATTGTTAAAGTCCTGTTTGTAGCTCTGCCTCTGGTCATGACTGCAAATCACAGTGTACTTCCTGTGTGGACACAGCAAAGTGACACTATGGTCAGAAATAACTGCATTTTTTGCAGATCAGTACAAAAGTCAAAGCTTGGTTTTAAGATAGCCACCTATTAGTAGTTTATACCACACATTCTGTGCAGACACTGTTGTGCTGAACTACCAGTATACTTACGATAAATAATCTGCTGCGTCACTGTCTGGTTGAAGCACAGTAGAGTCAAACAAAATTTCACTCGACTCTGGAAAAAAAGAAGGAAATGTCAAATAATTATAAAAAACTAATGCACTGACACTTGACACAGCTTAACAACTGAGAGCCCACCTGGGCAGTCCAGCAGGACTTCGTTGTTTGGCTCATCTGAAGTTTGAGCCTTTCTCAGTTCTTTCCTGTCTCTCCACCTAGCCTTCTCCTTAACAAAAGAAAAACAAATTCCAATGACAAGTGACACATAGTGACACTTTAAACATCTCTGGACATAAAATAATAATTCGGGAAGCACAGATACCAGTGTCATGTATCGGGTCCATTACCACCCTGTAGTACTTGCACTCATAAAAGTTGTCCACCGATACCACTTAACGGCAGCATTACATTTACCTCATGCTGGCTGAGCTGGTCGTTAGGCAGTGGAGAAGAAATTTCAGTGGTTCTTGGATATTTTAAGATAAGTGACGGTGACAAAATTAAAGCAGACTGTGAGCATAGATTCTTTGCTTTGCTGTGTGACTGCGAGTGCCCCTCCCTCCCCATCTCACTCAGACACAAAGCTGCATTTTACAGAGACGTCAACGCTCGCTATGTGCAACAAAACTAACAGTAATGGAGAGAGTAATTTAATTAATCACAGTCAGGAGGTGAATCTCATGAAAACTGTCTCAAGTTTTTATAGTAATTTCTGTATTAGACACTGTATTATTATTATGTACTTGTATTGGTACATGGTATTGGCAGGTACTCAAATGTAAGCACTTTTACTTGGTCTGAAAAAAGTGGTATTGGCGCATCAATAATAATACTAATATATACCAGACCTGTACTCACCTGGTCTCTGTGTTTGTGTTTGCTCTTCTTCCTTTTGAATGTGTGTCTATTCAGATCAGGCACTATCAGAGGAGGAGGGTGATCAGAGTAAGGCTGAGGATGTTCTTGAGGGTTTTCATGCTCCTGCTCAGCAGCAGGCTGAACACTTGTCTGTAGCCTCTTGGCCACCTCTTCTTCCCTCTGATAAACTGCGGACAAGGAGTCAAACAGCTTTCGAGGGTCCAGTGAGTTCTTTTGCCCGCCTTCCGCTGTTGCCTCTGCGGCATCTTTATGAGCCGGTTGCTCAGATGGCCTCAATCTCGACTTGTCACTGGTGGTTTTGTTTGACAGGTGGGATATCCTGGGCTTCTTACTGGCCAGAGGGTCAGTGTATTCCTCTGGAAGGGAATGTTTTGGACGGTGTGCTGGGGAGGAGTTGGGAGTGTCTCGCAGTGGGCTGACCTGGGCCCCGGGGACAGTAAGGAGGGTCTGTTGTGGCTGAAACAGTCTCCTGCACAGAGATGTGAAGGCGAGATATATATACATACATTTATATATACATACACACACACACACAGTACAACAGCAGCAGAAACAGTACGGCCATGCAGATAACCACATCCTGATGCAGTTGCATGAGTCACATACATTAGTGACACAGCTGTGCTTAACAGGTGGTACAACTTAAATGAGAAACCTGAAATGAGGCCATGAAGTGAATCCTCTTCCCCAGTTACACAAACCAGATTTCTTGTTTACATGGCATTTAAAAAATCAGGTTACTGTAACCTGGTTGGTCAAGTGTATGAAAACACACTGACTACCTGAACAGCATCTTATCATAACCTGACAAATGTCACTGAGTGAGCTAGAGAGTGAATTACAATTCCTACTGTATTTAAATACCAAATACAAAGACTGTAAGAAAGACCAAACCTTTGCATATTAACCAACATATCTTGCCTAATCCTCACATTTCTTGACATGCTGTGGGAAAGAAAACAATAGCCCAAGAGAAGTTCAGTTAGTTCCTGCTTTTAGTTCCTGTTGACTCAACATTTTCTATTTGGTCAGAAAAGCTCATTTAATTAAATTGTGCATCTAGGCAAATGCACATGGACAATTATGGATAAGACCTGCCTGACTAGATTAGATTAAACTGTATTGTCATTACACGTGTACAAGTACAAGGCAACGAAGCGCACTGAGCTTGAAACACATGTGCTGTGTCCGGTTTTGGAAACCCTTGTCTTCCACTGTTTCTTGTGCATTTTTAAGATCTGTGATCATCTGTGTTACCTGACAAGGATGCGTTTAAGAAGCTGCTGGTCTCCTGAGGTGTAGCCTGGCCAGTCCTTCTGCAGCCCCTTATACAGACTGTCCTTCAGGACAAATGTGTTATCTCTAGTGTTGAGCTGACCAACCTGCATACAAGCAGACAAATACAAAATATGTGTTCAGAAATCAGAGCTACCACAGTTCATTCAACAACTGCGCTGTTTCATTATTTTCAGAATGCCAGCGTACCTTTATTAACGAGACATGTATCAGGGTACAAGAGAAGAATAATTACCTCTGTCAGTACAGAGTCCAGAATATCTCTGCTGTCTGCTGACAGTCCATCTTTCTGCAGCCTCAAGATCAACTCAGGCTTCTTGTACGGCCTCAGAGCCAGCAGGTGCATTACTCTCTCCTTGAGCGGCCTCTCCTGCACATCACCAACACTCCTTCTGTTTGATGCACAGGCTACCGTCGTCACCTTGGACATCTCAACCCTCTTCTTAATGTTGCCGAGAAGGGACTGGGATGAGCGTTTGGGTTTTGCCAGGCTGGCCAGTGCCGGGGCTGGTGCTCGTACCGTAACCTTCTTCCCTGCAAGTGAGCATGAAATCCCACATCAAAAAAGCCTTTAAAAATATATACATCTTCAAAAGAAATCTGGTGAAGCTCACAGGGAGCCGACTGAGGTTTACATCAAAGGTGATCTTGAGCTATAGTCCTTGTTTTTCTAGTACTTGAAATATTTAAAGAAAGTTTTCTGCAGCATTGCTCATCATAAAGCAGCTAGTACTGGGAGCCTGTTGTAACAGTTTGAAACTACTGCCTTCTGAGGCTGTGGTGAGATCAGACACCAGGGGAAGCGATCTTATTGGATCAGTCCTATAGCACAACAGTGGATGACCTCATTTCACCTCTACAGAAACCCGCTTCTGGGTTACAATGATACACACGTCTCAAGTGAGCAAAAGCTGCTACCTAATTTGGAAAATAACCACATGGTTGCACAAGCATGTCGTGAGTAAGGAAGTTTTTTTGCTTACATGCTTCCTCTGAACTGACACAATCATCAAACTGAGTGTGTATGGCCATGTGTGTGCTGCATGAACCTGTGTGAGTTCACTGAATTGAGATGACGGTGGCTAACATCCCTGTTTAGAAGAAAGTGGTGTTGTGGTTAGAAGCAGAGAGAAAATGGTGACAAAAAAAACCCCTGAATGCTGATTTTATCATGCGTGTGTTTATTTGGTAAGCATGCTGTACAGAACACGGTCTCTGTACAGGCTATACAATACTGTATGTGAATGTGTGTGTGCTGTATAGATAGAAAAAAAAAACTGCTGAGGAAAACAAGACTGGCAGTTTCCCACTGAACTAAACCGGAAAGTGAGTCCAAACTTTTGAGTTGGTACTAGACACGTTGCCATGGAAACCAATGCAATATGGTTGACTGGGGGGTTTGGATATAAACAGCACAGCACAAATTTGTCTTCAGGCCAGTCTTCTTCCTTAGCTGGAGTTATCTACTGTACAACCAGGCAGGCTCTATGCAGATGTCGATGTTTTCTGTATTTCCTACCCTGGAAGCGCCCCCCATGTTTGATGACAATGGCCCCTCGGCTGCGAGTCTCCTCCTCAGCTTGGGCCATGCTCTGACGGGCCTTATCGTACGAGTCATCTGTGGCGTTGACGGTCATCTTCTTCTGAATCACCCCGAGACACGACAGCTCCTCAGCAGCACTGGGAGGAGGGAGGACAGGGAGTACAGACAGTGATCTGACAGAGCGTTCAGGACTTCTTCTACACATGATCTATTTCAAATAAAAGGCTGTTTTTCAGTACATGGTTGCTTGACTGATATTTTTATGTTTTAGTAGTGCTCAGTCAGCTCTATGCTCATATCAGCTGGACCAAATACATGACACCAGCCTGTAGTTTTACATTATTTTTCACATCTCTTTGGAAACAGCTACAAAGAGCTACTGTATTTTTGTCAGAACCAATAAAGAGATTTGATAACTCCTAAGCTTTTCACAACTCTTGACATTTCTCAAATTCACTTCTCTACAGTCCCAGTTTTCTAGACATGTATGGTCAAGATGCCATTTTCTCTGGCATTTAAAATAGGCAGAGGTTATCAGCAGGGTGACTTTCACACAGCAGTAGGGTCATGGAGACATTTTAAAATACTGAAACACATTCAGACACCCAGTTAACGCTATACATGGAATACATTTAAGTCAACATATAATCATGTGGACAAAACCTGCTCACAGGCCTCAGGAGCATGTTATGAACTCAACACTTAATCCCCATGTAATAAAAAATATTTGAATTTAGCAACTTTTCATCTGCAAATTCTTGGGTATGAAGGCTTCATAAAAGGTGCACCTCTTATAGGTTATTTTTGTGTTTCATTTATTTATTGTGTGTGTGTGTTTTACCCAGTACTGAGCTGACGGACACAGTCAAAGCTTCCATGTGGATTGTCACAGGCGACGTTAGTTACACTAAAGGTGAATTTCCTCACTTCTTCTCTATTCTCTGAGCAGGGGATAGTGATTCTCTGTAAGGTGAGCGAGAAGAAAAAAGGAGAGAACAAGATTTAACATTATTAAAATGTACAAGATGAAATCAACGAATTGCTGTATATAAACATGACCACCAGTTCTTCTTACCCCTTGATTTCCACTAAAACAGATGGTGGGATTAGAAGACCAGCCCTGGAGGAAAAGAAAAAGCATTTGAGAGTTTGGGGTGTGTCTTGGTGTCATCCACAAGCATGAACGCATACAGATCAGCAAAGACGAACGGAAAACATGCAATGACAGAGGATGTTTTGTGGTTTATGCTGTTGGCACCAGTGTGTTGGTCTTGTGGTTTTTTTTAACCACTTTTGCTTTTTCTCTGCAAGCTGCTGTTCTTTAGATTTGTGTGTAGTGCATCACTGTTAACCTTTTCTTGTCTTTCAAACCCCCACAACCCATAGCTCAAGTATCCCTTCATTACTACCACCCACTGTAAGGATTTAACACTAGATTAAACACATAAAAATGGACAGTGTTACAATATTTTTTCATACACAACACAATGATCCTGGGATTGCTGGGGCTCAGGCTTGCCTCTTTCTTCCAGCAAGTTTTGTCAAGTCTGCTAACACTCAAAGCAGCAAAAGCTGCTGTCGCTTTCAACATCTCTGGCTAGCTTTCATAAACTCTCAAATGCAGCATGTGGTGATTCACACTGGTAGGTGGCATGTCTTGTGCAGTCAGCTTACTGTGGCTGTTATTGTGATGCACTGATTCAACTTTTTCTCTCTTGACACCTACTCTGATGCTTCAACTCAGGTTATCAGCTGAAACAGAGCACTCTTTCAGCAAAAAGTGCTCTCATTTTACCTTACCTTACTGCCTAGTACTGGAATCATTTTTATGTAAGGCCAGGCTTTGCTGTGCGACTGCAACCTAAGCTGATAGTCCACCTCGGCTGAATTAATGCCAGTGATGGCAAAAAGGAGTCAACTTTAAAGTGGAACTCCCAGGTTAGATGACTAACAAGAAAATGTGTCAGTCCAGTAGAAGGCTAAGGTTACTGCCAATGTGACACAAAGCTCAAATAACTAAGTTAAAATGATATTAATTCAATACAAAGGTAAAAATCATGACTTCAGAGGCACTGATTGTCATTTTCCTAGCTAATTATAGTCTAAGTCTTTCTAATAACTGCAACTCACACCACTGCCAACACAAACATTTTTGTAACTTGAAATCCATCTATCCATCATTTATAACACTCAACCTGAAGAGGGTTAATCCCAGCTGACATTGGGCGAGAGGCGGGGTCCACCCTGGACAGGTCGCCAGTCTATCACAGGGCTGACACTTAGAGAGAGACAACCACACACACTCCTATGGGCAATTTAGAGTCACCAATCAACCTAAGCTGCATATACCCAGAGAGAACCCAAGCAGGCACGGGGAGAACATGCAAACTCACACGCGCAGAAAGGCCAGGGCTTGAACCCAGGACCTTCTTGCTGTGAGGCAACAGTACTAACCACTGTCTCTCCATGCCACCCTGTAACTTTAAACTGTAATAAAAACATTGTATTAAATAAGTTGTATTTGGTTGGATACACCATACATATACATGCATTTCAAGTGTAGACAGTAATTGCCTCATTGTGTGCTGTTTGTCAGAGTTTTGGACCCCAGTTTGCCTTCTCCAAGGTTTTCTTTTCTGTAGGCCCCTCTGTGCATTGTTTGTACACCACGTGCCACCAAAGCACCTGGTATAGACACAAGCAAGCCTGCACAGGCGTGCAAGATGCTACGTATGCTATGATGAGCAGCTTGTCACATGAGACTGTGATGATATACAGTGAAAAAGAGCCTTGTCATATTCACAGGGGTGAACTGGCCTGTAAGAAACTGCAGAAGTGACAGGCCGAAATGACACATTTGCAGCATGGACGGAAAAAATGTGATGACTAGAATATAACTGACCTTTTCATGGAGAGGATTTGAGAGTCGGTGAGTGAGGCAGCTGCCGGAACAGCGTTTGACCCAGTTACATGTGGTTTTCTTTGTGGTGTTTTTGTTAAAATGATCAGGCCAGGTGGGTTATGGATGGCCACACTTAAAGCAAAATAAAGAAACTAGCTATGTTCACAGCACCAGTATTGTGTGTTACTCAGCTTTGCATCAGGTGTTTTCCCCTCCTTCCTGTCTATCTCATCACAACACTAAAACCAATATGACAGTGAGGTTTTCACCTTTTACCAGAAAGGAAGTGACTGCATATTTAATCTCTGAGGAGTTTCCCATCTGTATTACTAGGAATAAGTGAATTGAGGAAGTGTACGTGACTGTTCTCTATTCAGACTTCCTGCAGCGTCTGATTCATTTGTGATTAACTGGGACAAATGCCTGACTTTGAGCATGTTCAAGTATCTGGGCTTTCCATCTGCCTCCCTCATAAAAACTCGTTGAAACTACATCTATTTGGCAAAAACGATAAGAACTCCATCCTTCAAATGTAATTCAACCCCCCCACACTCCTAGCACTTTCCCCCTCAACAGCCTTCCTTCCCTTTTTCTCTCCTCGACTTCGACACTGCATTCATAAAACAATGCCACAGCTTGTTACAAGCATCATCACACAGGCGCGCGTTTCCGCACTGTATTATGCAACATGCATGGCCACTGCACAGCTAAAAGAAGGCAACAGCCGGGTAACATATTAGTGAACTTCGTCTGAAATGAAAACCATGAACGAGCCTTCCTAGCCTTTCTCCAACCACTTCGTCTTAAAGTAACGCTCCCCTTGACGAAGTTGCACAACAGATTTGATTGTTAAGGTACATAATAACTAAGTATTTAATTATATACTAGTAAAATAACCTAACGTACCTTCTGAAAGGTGCCAATGGCTCTTGCCGCGCTGTCTGTGAGTTTGACGTGAAAAACTGAGATGTTACCGTCGCGGCTCAGTTTACCGCTGGACAGTCCGTAACACTGGTTCTCCTTTAGCACCGACATCTCGTACCAAATCGCCCCTGCCGGGCTTATTTCGGTCCAAACAAACAGTTCCGAGGGGTTCCGGAGAAGAAGCTCAACGGGTCCGTGTGGCTTCTACGCTGCCGCGCGCTATTCTGGAGTAGATCGCATTACGTCATGACGGCTGAACGCGAAACAGATTTCATTGGCCCGGAGACATAAATAAACCATTACGTAGAGTTTACGTAACGACTTCGATTTTCTTTCACTATGTTAATTTTCTTTCTTTCATATGCAGTGAGTTTCCGACGTGTGGGTGTGAGCTGAGCAGGTCATTCACAAGTTTTATTGTTTTAAATGTGTCATGACAGGTTTTCTGAAGCATGGGCGGATTATTAGAAAACGGGCCCATGGGCACAGACATGTAAAAGGCCCCCCACAACCCTTAGAAAGGGGCAAGAGCCCCAGACCAAAAGACACAAAATCGCTATCCAACAAAGCAATGAGCAGTCTCCTTGTAATTATTTTGCACATATTATTGTGGTTGTTTTGCATCTCTTTATCCTAGTTGTTTTGAGTCATTCAGTAATTATTTTGACCCAGTGCTTGCATACTCGCTGGCAGCAGGACCAGATGGGGGGCACCAACAGACGGCACCTCACCAGATGCAGGGCCAGGCGAGAACTGTCCCTGGCGTGCTGGCTAGTGGAGCAAACCCTGAACTGTACTGAAAAGACTGTTGGATGTGTTGTACAAGGTGGGACTGAGTAAGTGGAAGTGGGTGGTGCTTCACAGGGAGGGAGGGAGTGTCAGACAACTGACCTTGAAAAATACCTTGAAAAAGTTGCCTACTAGCTGCTGAGTTAAAGGATGTACATCATTTAAGGGGTCATATATACTGTGTCATGACATGTTTTTGCATGTTAAGGATGTAGGAAAAATTACATTGCTTTCTTACTGCACTTGCCGGCTGCTACTTTTGTTAGTTCCAGCTAATTGCTGTTTGACTTAATTGTAACATCACATATTTGAAGGTTGGTGAAGTATTTTTCTGCTCTCATACAGACACTGGCTTGGAGCCAGACTCTCTTTCTCTTCCTCCCTCTCTGCCAAGTCATATTTATTTATTTAACAGAACAGTTGCATAGCGCTCCTGCAGAGAACAAAAACCGCAGACAGACAAATACAAAGGCTATACAAATGTATTGCAAATTTTCAGATACAAATGAGCTGCAGTGAGTTATGTGTGTCTCTGCATTTGAATTTCAGTGTGTGTCTCATCCGTCTCTCTGCCAGTGTTTAAACGCAAATGGTGATCGCAACTGTTAAAAGTTGAGTCACATCAAAGGGCCAGTGAGTCTTTGTAGTGCAGTGTGTGCAACAGGTGACATTTTGGGCTCAAAACCATTTATAACTTTGAACACTCACTGTGCGCTGAACCTCCCCCTCAACCCAGCAGGTATGGGAGGACCGAGGTAGACAGAAAAACGTGATGTAGATTAAAGTTGGTATCCTTGTGGAACAGCAACATGAGGGCACTTCAGCCCAAAGTGAAGGTAAATTTTCAAATGAACAGCAGAAATACTGGAACTAAAATAATGATTTTTCTTTGCAACTTATCTGAATACAATCAGCATGACTGCTTTCATCCTGTTTGTAGACGAAAACTGGGGAAACTACCACCAAGCGAGTGTCAAGGTGAGTTTCAAGTGTATAAATTACCCTGTGAATACTATGTCATGTATGTATCAATTTCTAAAGTATTTGTAATAACATCTTGGTCTAGTTTTGTCTTATATTTTTGTTGACATTATTATTTTATTAAATGATTGATCAGAATAGGAAGACTAAGTTACTTCTTTTGGTATAGCTGAAAAACACAAAGGTGAAACTGCTTATTAAACAAAACAAAAAAGAAACAATATCAGATTTTCAGACAGGTAAAAGATGTCCAGAGCAGGCATTACAAATGCTCTGGACATTATAATATTGTGATATTAAAATATTAAATAATGAAGATTTGCAAGTAAAAATAGTCTGACTTTCCTTTGCCCTCCAGGCCATGGGGGACCCCCTGTCAGACTGCAGCCCTCTGATCAGTGCAGCGGCCTCGGGAAAGCTTCGACTGGTTCACCTGCTGGTTGAAGGCGGTGTTCAGGTCAACAAGCGCAACCACAGAGGAGAGACGGCACTGCTGGCTGCGTGTAAGGCCCTGGCTGAGGAGCCTGCTGGGCCTGATACAGTGAAACTCCTCACATACCTGCTCCAGAACAAGGTCTGACTACAGTGACTTGTGTTTCTCAATTCAGAATCTATGTACAAAAATGCAATTTTCTGCATACAAGTCTGTATGTAAGCTTAAGCGTTTACTGCTTTAGGTGTAGCTGTAATGCAAACTGTGCACCAACATAAGTGAGGTGTACTGTTAATGCACAGTAAATAGGTTCCTCATGTATCTAACTCTGCTTACATTACAGCGTGTCCTTCTTCCAGCTACTAAACTGTTCCTGAACATTTTGGCACTGTAGAAGGCAGCACTGTGTACTCAGAGGCAAGATAATTATTGATTATATGCAGCACTGGGTACTGAGACTGTCTCATAAAGGGCATTCTCACTGAACAGCCAGAACACAAAAACAAACACGCTAGATCAGATCTTATTGAGATAAAAGTGAGAACATAAGCCATTTCTGTATGTAATTGGGATGAAGTTTAATTTCTGATTACCTAACAAGAAAACATACAGTATCTAAGCACAGAACTAAGCTCTGTCTTATTCCTTTTACCTGCCCTCACTGGGCCACTGTGGATAAAAATAAAATCTGTTAATGATTTTGTGTCAATCAGGCAGATCCAAATGCACAGGACCAGGCTGGCCGCACTGCTCTGATTTACGCTTGTATGAAGCGAGCAGGGCCTCAGGTGGCGTCCACACTGCTGTCTGCAGGGGCCGACCCTAGCATGGAGGACTACTCTGGAGCATCAGCTTTGGTATACGCCATCAATGCACAGCACCAGGCAACAATCAAGGTCAGTCAGCAGTGGGAACAAATGATTAATGGAAGTCAAAATAAAAATTCCTGTGTGAAAAAAGAGGCGAATGGATTGGAATAGATGAATTAATAAATAGACGGGACCAACAGGACTGAAGCAAAGCATCTCAGTAGCTGTTTTATTGTTTATAATGGTGAAAGTGGAAGTAAACAAAGCTGTAAAATAGCAGTGGTGGAAGTTAGTACTACAGTACTTACATTAAAGTTCAAATACCACACATACTAGAATTTGTAGTTATTTTAAAAATTGTACTTGAGTAGTGTTAAAACATTATGTATTATACTTATCATTGTTTACATACATTAATGTGTTAGGATTGTTTTGATGTTGTGGTGTGTTGAGGTGGAGCTAGGTTTGACTCATTAATATGTAACAATGCAGCGTAGTTTATGAGGTCATCACGGGCATTGTGTGTACAAATCTAAATAAAATGGAAATACTCAACTAGAGAAGTACCTTCATTTTTCCATGGAAAATTTTAGTGCCCAAGATGTTTGAGAGGTGTTCCTTCCTTGCAAATACAGAAAAGACATTGAAAAATGATCAACGTGACAACAGTCCAAATGTATTGATCGGTATCAAGCACCCTGAAAACCCCCAATTAGCCAAATCTAAACGATGACTCACCAGCACTGTGCACTTCAGGTGTTGATGGACACCTGTCGGGCCAGGGGTCGTGACATCATCATAATCGCCACGGAGATGGGTATGAATGGAGGCCCGGTGACCAGACGTTATTTGAATGTTCCTCCATCACCTCACACCTCGCCGGTGTCTTGCATGTCGCCTTCGGAGATTGTCCTCAAGACAGGCACCCCAGACTCACCTGAGGGGGGAAACATCTTTAATTTCGGAGGAATAAGTGAGTAATAATCATTATCTGAACTTCAGTCTGAGTGACTGATTTTTCAGTTTTTACTTTTATGACCCTGCAGAAAATTGAAAATGACTTGAGATTGTTAACTCCATGTCTGCTTATTTTTGTCAGAGTTACGCTATTGTTGCATGATTTCTCTGTTGAGAGTGCACATTACCACACATATTATCTGGTAATTTAGATCAAAATTAAAGCAGATGTGATGTTAACTATGGTTGATTTCATATTTCACATAAGTGTCAAGACGATTCATTTGTTAACTGGACTTCATATATTTTAATATACTGGTTCCAAATACATTTTCCAAATGTATTGATGCTAAATATCACTAGAAGTGAATCGGTATCAAGCACCCTGAAAACCCCCAATTAGCCAAATCTAAACGATGACTCACCAGCACTGTGCACTTCAGGTGTTGATGGACACCTGTCGGAAAACACATTTAAAAAATCCTTAGACTTAACACTCCTTGTCTTTGCTAGCTTCCCAAGGTGCAAGCTAAACACAGCTAATTATTTATTTCAAAAATTGGGACACAGCAATAGTTAAGTAATGACATAGTTGTTCTCATACTCAAGTGTGACTTGACTTCTTCATCTCTGTCTTATTCACTTTCATCAGGCAAAAGAGGCAGCAGCAGGAGTCCCTCCTGTGAGCTGAGTTCATCTAGCCAGTGTAGCTCTCCACCTCCCAGACCAGAACCATGGCTGGCCATTCACAATGTGGCCTGTCTGAACAGAGCTCATGAGGAGGGCATGAGGGAGAGGATCCTGCAGGAGGAGGAGAACACAGAAGTTTTAGGAAGGGAGGGAGGAGGAAAGGAAAATGAGGCAGGAGAGCATGAGGAGTCACATTTTCATCAGTCCAGGATCGGAGAGAGGAGGGACAGCCTGGTTCAAAGGAGGGATAATAAACATGAAGAGGAGTATTACAGCAGCTGTCATGAGGATTTCCTTCAGTCAGTCCTGTCTCTCACAGAGGTGTGTTCGTCTCAGGTGACCTCCAGCAGATCGGTCCCCAAGAAGTGCACAACTCCTGAAGGGTCAACACCAGACAAAACAATCCAAAAGAGACCTGCCGGCACATCTCCTCACTCCCAGCTCCACAGGAACACCATCCCCTCTGTCACCATGGTCCCACCTCTGCTTCACCTCCCTCCCTTAGTCAACCAACGAGGCGCTCACCTACAGGTAGCAACCCAGGTATTACCCTCCAAAAGCAGGAGCATGGGGTTTCTGCCTCATCCGCCCAACTCCTCTCCACCACCCTCCTCTTCCTCCCGAACATCAGTAAGGCCAGCACTTTTCCCTCTGCTCCCCCTCACCTTCTCAGCTGCTCCTTCTCTCACCTGCTGTAGCGAGAGGAGCAGCAGGTCAGCGCGCCGTCACTCAGTACAACTTGAACAGTACAGAGGAGGAGGAGAGCAGAAGAACGAGATTTTCTTCTGTCAGCAGCACCTTTACCCCACCCCTCCATAATGTACAGCTTTGAATGAGAAAGCATAAAATTCAAGCAGGCTCCTGCTTAAGGGGCTGCAGTGATTGTTTGCAAGTTAATTTGGGATGACATAATTGAATCCCCACTTTTCCTTGACAAGTTAAACAACTTGTGATCCATTTTCACTACTGCCATTCTAATGACCAAACAATTTATCAATTAATCAAGTAAATTTGTAGATTGACAATTTTATTTATTTTTATTAGCTGCAACTATAAATCACTGCAGATTTTATAATTTTATGAGGTCCATAACTCACCTGTTAAGACAAGAAAAAAAAGCTAAATATTTTAGAAAAGTTTGAAAAAAAAAAAATCAGCATGAACAAATTTTTTTTCCCTTTTTTCCTTAACTCTGAGTTTAATCTACAATATATTGTCTGGAAACAAAATGAAATTCGGGGAAGCAGTATTCCAAAATATATACACAGCGTTTTGGACAAGGACTCATTTTCGTCTGTGAAATAACATGAGGAATCTGCTTTATTTATCCTCATCACAAAAAAAAAAAAAAACATTTGTAAAGCCAAAGAAAAGCTGGAAAATCCAAACACATTGTGGATGCAAATCACAGCCGTGTAAATCCAGAGAAAGAAGTGCATGTTCATGGCAAAAGGAGTGAAGTTATTTTGTTTTTAATATGTATCTACAACAAGGGGGACACAGGCAAAAACGATTGACAACTTGATGAAAATTAAAACAAACAAAACAAAAACATTATCAATGCAGTTTTCCCACCTTTTTTCCAATAAGCAACATTTTTTTGTCTAAAGAAACTTTACAATATAAAGAAACATACGAAGAAGGAACCTCTTATTTTTACTACACGAGACATTTAGGATCTGAAACTACCCTAACATGAGATACAAAGCAACTCCCGCAAGGACCGACTGCCTCATATTCAATACTGCTTTGTCATCAAGAGGAAAAAAATAAGGAACTGAACAGAAAAATCTTTACTACCAACCCAAAAAAATTCCTCTTAACTCGCCCTACCCCTGAATGGTACAGTATTATATCTAAACACAATAGAAATACAGAAATGAACAATGTTGTGACGGCTTTACTTACAGGACAAAGATAGAGAAGTTCGGCTGCATTTTGTACAACAGTATTTCAAACTCCAGGGGAGAAAAGGCTCTCTCCCACTTTTTAGCAACAAGTCTGTCCATTATTATTTTTTGCCTTTACTTTCTCCCACACCATTTTAAATAGATTTTTAAAAAAATCCTTCATAGTAAAGTCTGTATTCTGGTCCCTGGTGTGTTGGATTGAGAGCCAGTGTGTGCTCTGCTTTCAGTTTCATTCGTGTCAAGAGGATAAAAGCTAAAATGCAGTGTCTCGAAGGCAGACACAGAAGGGACAAGTTTTATTCTGAAAATATTATGAAAGATTGGCCTCTGTCGCTCAGTTCTTGCAAATCTCTTGTCAAAAATGGCAAAAAAAAAAAAAAAAAAAATTCTGCATATTTGTGGCTTTTTTTTCCCCCACCTCAAACTAAACTTCCAAGAACAGAACGAGAGGAGGGACGCGTTTTTACAACAGCCATGTTTAGTTTCATGAGATTGCTAGGAAATGTGTGTGACAGTGAATTAGCTAAAGGAGTTCACACACAGTTATAAACTCGTCCGCCCTCGTTATCTTCGACCCCTTGATGCTACAGCTCTGGTGCACAGTAAAGTCCCACGTTTTGTCTGTGATGAGGTGAAATAGCATAATAGTCTATAGCAGCTCCAGTTTCTTGTCATTCATATTATTTCTGAGTTCAGACACACCATCTCTGAACAAATACACAAAGATGCCTGAACCAGCACATTTCTGACCAACTGTTAAGTTGTGATTGGAAATATCAAAACATGTCAATGATATCAAAATGCATTTTACAGTATTTACAGAAAAACTAAAACTAAAAGATGGAGAGTTGTACAAAAAAAAAAAAAAAAATCAGAGAAGGGTGGTGTGTGGCTGAGTGTATCCGTAGTGGCCTGTTGTAAAGGTCAGGAAAGAGAAAAGGACGGAAGTGTTGAGATGAGTAAAAGGGAGGGAGGGCTGCTCCTTACGATCAACAGAGCAATGCCTTTTTTGCTTCCTGACCTGCTTTTCATCAACATAACACCAAGAATCAGATCAACAGAAAACCAGAAGTCCATTCACCAGAACCGACTGTAAAGAGGGAGCACCACATGTATAAGAACCAATTTTCTGCAAGATAAACTGACAGATGTCCATCCATCCGTTATCTATACCGCTTATCCTGAAGAGGGTTGTAGGGGGAGGGCTGGAGCCAATACTGACTGATGTGTGAAAGCAAATGTACAAACATACATCACAGTGTGTTGAGGACTTCTCTGCAAACAAAAAAAGGTTCACTACAGGTCAACACAGAGAGGATAAACACACACAGCCTACATACACGTTGGAGCGAGCAGTGACCTAAGTGGGCAGCATCAGTGGAAGCAGCATGAGTTGGGTCAAAATGGTCGACACTTTTCAGCACCTTTAGGGCTGGGACAGAGGGATAATGATGTCAAATGGGTATTTAAAAATAAAAAAAAGACATCACTCAGAGGCTCTGTATATTACACAGCAGCTACAACTTCTGCAATTATATAAAAAAAAAAAAAACAGGGATAACACTTTTAAAAATGTAACAATAACTCATAAAACAAATAAAAAGTACATAAATAAATAGAGCTGTGCATTTCACTGCATGCATGCTACTAAATCAGGCACTGCTTCTTCTTCTGGTGTGGGTTATTTAGCAAAAAGTTACATTTATATCTTGTTAAAAGGAAGCTGCTAACCTCTGCCGAATCAGTACCGTGGTGAATACAGTCCTACCTGCAGGGGGCAGTGTGCTCACATTGAGCCACATGTTACACAGCAAATAATTTCTGATTCGTGTGCACATATGATATTCTTCATCACAATTATGTGCCCTTTGAAACAGAAATTAGAACCTAATCTTAAAATGATCACAGCAATATCATTAATAACAATAATAAAAATAGAAATTATACAATACATACACAAAAAATGGAAAAAAAAGTTCACTTATCAACAACACCTCTGTTAAAAATGTACACACGGATACCCTTTTTCGACCAACAGGAACTAAGTGCTAGTTCTGAGCTGGTGCCAGAGCCAGTTTGGAGCTGGGTCAACTTACAAAACTTCTAAGAACCAGTTTGCTTTTCCAGGGGCTAAAGAGCCATCACAGAAGTACGTATTTACGTCACAGTATACATCTGAACACGCCTCTGCTTTCCCAGCAATGCTAGTGCCAAGCACAATAACAACAATAGCAGACTTCAGTTTCTCCTTTGTAGTGCTGCTCCTGGCTTTGAGCCTACACTGGCATCTAAATACAACTGGTCCAATGCATTTGTGCTGCTTGTCGTGATTTCTATGCACAGCGATTATGTTTGAGAAGAATGGTAATTGCACAACACATTTTGATTCATACTAACACTGCCTTTAGCTAGCCAACAGTTTGTCTCCTCTACAGTTCACTGCTGTCAATGAAGCTCATGTTTTTCTTTTGGTATTAAAAATGAGGCAAGACTACACCGCTCTCTTGTTGTGATTTTCTAAAAATGGCAGTCACAGAGCTTTAGTTGGTCTTTGGTCATGATAATCCCGCACCCCAGCTCCTGATGCAAGATGTTCTTAATTCTAGATCAACAGAGAATCGGTGCCCAGTTAGAACCAGTTTTCCTGAGCCAGAGCCAGTTATCTATCTGGCTGTCAAAACACAAGGAACTGGTTCAAAATTAGGCACTGCCTCTGAACCAGCCCTAGAACTGCCTTGGTCGAAAAGGGGTAAGAGAGAACATCATGGGGGTAAAGGGGTCATTTCATCCGACCTGCCACTGAATTCATCAGGAACAGAAACAAAATAATGATGATGATGGAAAAAAGGTTGTGGTTAAGAAGCTTCCAGGCAGCTGCTAAGAAACCCAACAGTGCATCTTCAAGGGAGGGCTGTGTTACCCAGTCTCCTCTCTCCCTCTGTTTGTCCTCCTTTCCTCGCTCATTGTCTAGACCCTGACAGGAAGCCTGGGAGGCCGGGGCCAGAGTCAGAGAGGCTCTTTCTATTGCTCTGTGACTGCTTCCTATTCAGACTGGTGGCCATCTTGCACGCTCCAGGAGGGCCCATCTTAATTCGAGTCCCAGTGTGCTCAAGGGCTGTCCTGGAAGGCTGTGCGGCCGTAGAGTTCCCGAGTGAGAAGGGGGAAAGGTGGGGAGACAGAGGATCCCATATGGTGTGGGGAGGGGAGGGTGTGTGTGTGTAAAGAGGGGAGGTGGTCCAATCCAGGGTGAAATAAGGATTGAATTGAAGGGGGTAAGAAAAACAGGTGCACGGTACAAAAATAGGGGTAAAAATAAACAAAATTACAAAAAAAGAAAAAAATAAAATCACACACTCATCGTCATGTTGGGTGAATACTGAAAAGAGAGAGAGGGAAGGGGGGGAGGAGGGCATAGATGAGTGGATATGTCACTGACAACATTTAAACAGCAGAGGGCGCACAAACCCAGCCCTGCAGAGCTACAGGAAGCACAGACTGAAGGTTTCAGCCAGGATCTCATACACCTTAGTCAAGTAATCGATGCCGCAATCATTCAGTCAAATTTCAGAAGTTTAGGGTTCAGAGTTTACAAACTCCGTCCTTTTATGGGTACAGACCAAAAACACAAATTTATTCTGTTTCACATAAACAAAGATGAATGGAGTCATTTCCATTCGTCCAAGTACCCAGTATACCCAGCCCTGCTGTTGATTGGTTGAATCTGGGTATTAGAGCGTGGCTATAATTCCAGTCTGCTCACTCAGTGGCTCTCCATTGCAGGGTTCAGTACATCCCCTCCACCCGCTGTGCTCAAAGCAAAAGACTAAACTGTAACAAAACTGTTACATTACTGTGTACTTCAGCATGTATTTAAAATTTAGAAAATCCCCAATTTCCTTATTTGTTCAATTTAACAAAACCAAAAAATAAACTAGGGGTTTATGACAATCAACTATAATCACATCACTGATACAGAGGGTATACACTGCCTGGCCACAACAGTCCCACCTGTTCAGTTGTATGCACTTCACTGCAACACTTCAGCCTTAATGTGTTTATGAAGCTCAAAATGTTTCACTTTTTGGTGAAATTGTCGTAAATGTATAAATTCAATTATATGTTGATTATATTACTGAGGTCATAGTTAAAGGTGGTGTTGTAGTGCAGTACATTATATTCAGGGGTGTTCCTAATATTCTGACCGTCTCATGTATGTAGTTGGGGAAGACAAAAATGTAAAGACACCTCTGAATATGATGTAGTCCAGTACAAAACCACCTTTTAACTATGACCTCAATAATAAACATATAATTGAATTTATGTATTTATGACAATTTCACTAAAACAAACATTTTCAAACAGCTTCATAAACACAAATGTTAAGGCTGAAGTGTTGCGTTGTACGGGTGCAACCATTACTGTGGCCAGGCAGAGTAGAATGAATTTCTAAATGATTAGTAAGTGGTTACAACTGCAAGCAGAACATCTCATAGTCTGCACAGCCTGTTTTTATTTTGTACGGTCACGCCGTTCTGTGCATAATAAGTTTTACATTTCAAATTTACAGTGCTGTTTCCCGAATAAGAGTCTAAAGGCTATGCTGAATTTAAAACTACTCAATCTCAACCCTGGAAATCAAGTTGGGTCGAGTTGAAATGATATTCTGTCTAAGTGGGTTCAGTAGAGTCCTGCCATGTGGTCTCCTGTATACAACCTGAGCAGATGTGAGGGGGTCCTGGACTCAGCTCTGATCTTGTGGTGCATGTCATACTGTGATCCCAGTAATAAAAAGTAATGCTTAACTGTAAGGTCTCCTTTTGACTGTGGTTGTTTGTTAAATTCTGTTCTATCAGGCTCTTGCTTCTCTATTTGGACAGACTCGCAGGTCTGTTGGAAAAGGATCTCCTTCCACACTCCATTTCCCTTATTGAGTAAGGTAGTTTTCCAACAGCTAGTGAGTAATTCTGGGTTTGTAAAAATCTCTACCTTAGTCAAACAACTTGTTGGTTATAATACTTCTTATTAACATCTCCTTACTAGAATGTGTTTGAGAATTGCAGGACCTACAACAAAGATGTGTCAATTGAAAGGCAACGCTACAACCTCTCAGCTCAAGCAATATGATATGTGAGAATAACCAAACTAAAAACAAAAAACACACTTTCCAGAAAATGATCAATTTTGAAAAATAAGCTTATTAATCCTCTGCTTGCATTCTTCCACTAGTTTATGTCAGGACATCAAGGAGAACTGTTAAGGGTTATGAGATGCCATTCACTTGCTCTTCTTACACTTTCGCTTTGGAATGGGTTCAAGAAGTTCCCGCCCATTTCACCATCATCTCTCGGTGTTCCAGGAGGGTTGTTCATGCTCCCCATGTTACTAGGAGAGCTCTGGAGGGTGAGAAGGTAAAAAAAAACCCACTGATGAGACTGCTTCTTATAAACAGCTTCATTAAATTAGAAAGTAAAGATTCTGAATCGATGGTTTAATTTACAAGAACACTCCAGCAAACAGGAGAAGTCTAGAGAAAATCTTTTATTCACCTTTGGCAACCCATCCATATCCCCAGACCCTACAGACATGGAAGGAGTTGTTGTTTAAGGTAAACTTAATCCAAAAGAAAGCACTGTTTCAGTTGAACATGTCACTTAAATTTCACCAGTAATTTGTTGAGGTTTAAACTCACCTAGTGATCCGTTCATGTGGTGTGGCTCCATGGCTCCCATAGCTCCCATTGGCCCATCAGGCCCAGGTCCCATAGGGAACTGGAACATGTTGTGGAACAAAATGTATATGGTTATAAAATTATTTAACAAGTTTGACTTCTTTGATTTAATCACTCAGAGATTATTCTATGTGGTTAATTTCCAGTAAAAGCGTAATGAGTTCAGCGTGGCAGCATTATGTTTCTCTAATGCTGCACTGTACCAGTGCCCAGTGATGTGGTTCTAAGCCTTTTTTGAGCTGGATTAATTTTTGTGGGCAAGGTTGTGTAATTATAATCATTACACTACCATCCATTATTTTAACCCAGAATCAATCTGCAAAGTCTGAAACTGTCAGAAGCCTGAAAAGTTAAACCTTTAAAACAACATCACAGTGTGCAGGAGACTCACATTGGGTCTGTTGCCTCCCGGTCCAATAGGATTCATCATTGTATAGATGTTTTCACTGGAGTTAGTTGAATCTAAGAAATGTGAACAAACATTTTAGCGGTGTGATATCAGAGCGATGACGTCAAACATGTGAAAACTGAAAAAATGAGACTGGTTGGTGAGGGACACATCCATGCTTGTTTAGTGAGGGGAAAATGGGAGAGACATCAGTGTTAGTGCTGGGGACAGAGTCAGGTGACGCACCACCTGGGCTGGGCATGATGGGAGTTCCTGGCGGACCTCCTCCGCCTGGGGGGCCCTGTGGAGCAATCAGTGGTGGATGTTAAAATCACACTCATCAGAACATGCCTAAGTCTTCATCAGTCCAATAATATCATAACTACTGGTTTTGATAGACTGTAACTCACCACATAGTTTCCTGGAGATGAGGATGAGTAGGCTATCTGCAGGGTAAAAGAGCAGACAATCAGACCCGATGGTCAGAGGGTACAAAAAAAAATAAAAATAAAAAATAAATAAAATAAGAGCAAAACTTCACAGTCTAATAAAGTCTGCAATAATTAAAACTTTTTAAAAAAAAAGATGATAAACATTCCGACTATGTCAGGAAATTATTTCTTAACTCAAGTGTTCATTTTTCAGAACTTTTGTTAAGTCAATATCACTTTAAATGTCCTTCAAGGAAACTACCCTGGAAAAGATGAACAACAGTCACAAGTAGCCCTGGCCAACACAACAGCTCAACAAATGACTTTAAAATCTAAACCTCTATGATAAGGTTTCAACCAAACCTGCATGCAATACCAGGATCCCCCCGTGTCCTGCCTCAGCTGGTCCAATAGTCGCACAGAGCATCTCCTCCGACATCTTCTCTCTTATCTACCTTGCAGTAATTTTAGTAAAAGTAACCGCTACTGCTGTTCAACATCATTTAGTTTCAACTCCAACGTGACCCGGTCAGCGTCAGTCGCCACTGCTAGTAAGTGGCAAAGAAACTTAACAGTAGTACAGGAACTCACAGAGTTAGCATTAGGTCCTGGCCAAGGCCCTCTTCCTCCAGGACCCCTGGAGAGGGAAGGGAAAGACAGGGAGACAAGGAGACATGGGCAAAGAAAAGAAAATGAAAATAGTTTCAGAAGCTGGGAACATTTTAAGACAGAATGGAAGCAAAAGCTGATCCACATGTGCCAAACTTATAGTTACATTTCACAGGCTGCATGAGATGTTTTAACTTACATGTTCATCCCCGGCATTGGGCCACCCATGGAGTTGGGAGGGGGCCTCATGCCTCCATAATTCTGTAAGAGAAGGCATTAAAACACCACGAGAACATTCAACAAGATGTTATTACTGATTCTCTGCGTAACTTTTGTTTATTTGAGTTTGGTGATTCTGGCCTGACAGCCGCTGTTCTGGTGAGAGGTCAGATGAAACTACAGCAAAAAACTAAATGAAACAAACCACAGTCTTAACCTGTAAGAGCAAACATCTACTCAGACAGTCAGATCTACTCCACAAGAATATATCAAGGTGTTAAATGTGAGTTAAAATCACTATATTAATATGCTCATAGCCTTAAGTGTTAAAAAGACAAAATACATAAAAATAACACTTGCTGATACTTTTAAAGCCCTAAAGTGCTTCATTTTCACAAGATTCTTAATGGTATCCAATAATCAACTTAAGTGTGTGTGTGTGTGTGTGTGCGCGTGTGCATGAGCCTGTGTGTACAGTAGGTTTCAGGTTTGTCATACCTGTGGGCCCATGGCCATTCCTCGAGGGGGATTCATCCTCATTGGTCCACCCATGTTAGGATGTCCTGTAAGCACAGACCCAGAGTAACGCACAGGCTGTGACACACGACACACTCATGTGCTCATTTAAATCCACATATGGCTTGTCTCTTAAAATCGGGAATTAAGACATGCCACAGATAATTCTCCATCCTAATCCCATTAGTTGTCACGCTCTGCTCTCTGAAGCTGTGAACTGCAGCTAAAATAATCAGGGACTCCTTCCTGAGCCAGACACACCCTCGAGTTCACACAAGAAACAACCCCTGAAATTTAACCTTTACAAAAATGTAAGCAGAAAACAAAAAAAAAATGTGTTGGGTGTTTTGATATAATTAATCAATTATTAAACACTGTACCAGGATAAACAATGAAAAATGGATGTATAACAGGATGAGTGGATTAATCAATTAAAAACACAACTGGTTATTTTAGGATCCACATATGATTTATAAATAAGTACAGAGGGGTGGAACAATGGCACTGGGGATTTTCTAGCCTGTTTCTGCCAAATTCACAAATAAAAACATGTTATAATGTATTTATAAACTTTACAAATGAAATTTTAATTTATACCTTCCAAGGCCTTTGTGAGAAAACTGAAATCAGACTTTCTAGTACAGATATGCTGTAAGTTTGTGACATCTTGTAGACAGAAAAGTTGAGAAATTACTTGATAGATTGATCAATCATGAAAATAATTAGTGGCTAAAGCCCTGACAGAGTTAAAGTCTCTTACAACCACATTATCTACTATATAAAATAAATGTATTTCCTAGTAAGTCACCCTAACTCAGGCCATGCGACACAACAACTGTCTCAGCTCTCTACCTTGCGGTCTTGTCGGATCCAAACTGTTTGGCAGGAGAGGCTGAGATCCAGGGATTCCCCCAGGAGGCTGAGAAAAGCCCAGACATGGAAACTGATTAAAATACTGGCACATTGTTGGCAACACAGACACTCTGTGTTGTCAAAATCAACAGAAAAATGAGTACGTCACAATCCAGTAGTACCTGATTTGGCATTCGGAGTGAGGGACGCGGTCCACCTGGATACCGCGGAGACATGAAAGGCTGAGAAGAGACATGGAGGAGGAAGGGGAAAGACAAAGGTGTTGAGGGTGGGAATGTGGTGAGAAGAGGAATAGAGAGAAAATGACATTTTCATTATTGAAATCCAAGAGTTCTCAAACAGGGGCCGTGTTTAGGACACACAGATGAACACAGTGTGGTTGGAGCATGAAGGGTGACACCGAAAAATCACAAATTCACCACATCCACCTGAACGCACAAGAAATTGATATAAAACTCTGTTTTATGACTTCTAACAGTGCCTGCTCATACACACTCAAAGCATGGATCGGTGTGTGTGTTTGCGCAGGCCAGTGTGTGTAAATACAGCGCTCACACAGCTCCCTGCACACCCTGCCTGCTCTCACTGTGGTGTAAGCTGATTCAGCCTGTGGTCTGCCTGGCGTAGTTAGAGACACCTCAGGCCAACAACACCGTTCAAAACCTTAGAGGAAGCATGTCCACACTCTCTCGCACACAAGAAGGAAACCAGAAACCACAAGAATGAAGAGCCGGGCTGCCGCAGTTAATGGGCAAAGGCTAGCTTTACCTCCACAGTGGCGTCTGTAGCTACTGTTCTGGATAAGTATTAAAACAAGCACTGAGTGAGGATGGAAGTTTATTTTTTTTAAGGCTAAGTACTCTGAATATCTTATTATGTAGTTGGCAGCTAGAAAAATCTGAAACTCTGATTGTCCTGTATATATGTAAATGTACCCAAGTGTTTTTGTATGTATGTGATATGTCCATAGTGCCTCTCCCTATTTTATTTATAAGGTGCAAGAACAAGTAACTAGAGGGGAGTGTGCCGTGTGTGTGTGTGTGTGTGTGTGTGTTAAAAGTAGTGTGCAACCCCCCCACAAGCTGCTCCGGGGGAGGGGCAAGGAGTAAATTATTCATCCCACACAGGGACAGCGGATTCTGGGCCTTGAAGAGGAGCAGGCCTTTTCATAACAGAGCTGGCAACTGGAGTTGACAACTGGAGCTGACATCTACGGGGAGTTAGCCAGAACAGAACTAGAGCTAACGGGCTTGAGGGTAGGAGAGGAAAAAGACAGTGTGTCAAGCAGCGAAAGAAAAAGAACTTGTGTGAGGGTAGAGGGGGAGATTTAGGGGGGAATGAAAGAGATAGGGGTGTTTGAGAGAAAGTGTTTGCATCTTACCTGACCATGAGGTCCCATCATGGGGTTGCTGGGGTTGTGTGGGGGGGGCTGGGGGTGGGGGGACTGCTGAGAGCCGGGTGGTCCCTTTAAGAAAGAAGAGTGATATCAGAGATGGGAGGGGCCAAAAGGGGGTTTTACACCTGGAGGAATTACCCGATCAAAATCATATAGGAGGAGGAGGAGGACAAGAGGGGGGGAGTCAGTGGAAAGTCTTTGGGTTGAGGAGGAATAGGAGCACAGTGGACAAAGCTGGGCAATTTGGGAAAATTCCATAAAATCTGAAGCTAAATAATGTACTTCTACACAAAACAGAATTAAAAGCCATTAGTTATAGCCTTTGAGTCCTAGAAAGCTAGCAGAAATCTGTGCTAAGTATAGTTATTTTGCTGGGTGGCGTTAACATGTGGCTTCACTAGAAGAGACCCTCAGAACACAGAATTACATGTAGCTTTCCTCTCAACCACATGGGGGCAGTGTTGCCAAAGGCTCACTGCAGCAGGGCAGGCACGAACAGCAGGACAGCCACTAGAGGCAACTTCAGACCAGAAAGATGATACTGACAAGCACAAGTAAAAATTGGAACTTTCCTGCATATTTTAAGCATACTTCAGTACCACAGTAAATTCTTGTTCATAAAAAGAGCAACCCCCAGCTTCTCCCCACACACTGCTGTGTTGTTACTGACACTTCACCCCAAGACATGAGGTTAATGACCCCTAATAAGTAACTTATGCAACACTCTGTTTTCCACTCTATCACTGTCAGCGCCTTCGTCTCTATTGTTTTTTTCCCCTTTTCCAATTGTCAGAAGAAAACAAAAGCTGGCCAATTTACAAACGGCAAATGGAATTTTCCATGTAACCCTCCTCATCATCCAGACACACACAAACAACACATATGGATTGGCTCAGTGAGTCTGGGAGATATACAGTACTTGTATGCACCTTTATGACATCCAATGGGTGAAAGCATGCTTGGGGGTTTACAGGTGTAAACTATAACAAGAATTTGTTAATTTATCTCAGGAGACTTCAAATAATACCACAAGTGAAATTTAAACGTATGTAAAAAGTCAAAACATGTATAAAGCTAAAGTAACAGCTATTCTGATTACTGACTGAAAGTTCTTATACAGCAGCTCGAGTATTTGATAACATTTTAACACAGGGACTCGTATTGATAATAGGGGGAAAGTAGAGCACTGATATGGTACTGTTTCTGTATCACGGCTGAAACTCACTATCACAACAGCACTAGTATCAAAATGATTTCCAGCGGTACCCCGGCCTTAACTATGAGCGTTAACCATATCGGCAGCAAACAGCCAAAGCTTTCCATTACAAAAAGGTCCCACAAATACACAAGCACACACACAAACCCTCACCCAATCTCACTCCTCCACCAATGTTATAAATAGCACTTCCATGCATCTCTCCTCGCCCCTCGCCCCCCACTCCCTCTCCCTCACCCCACCATCCTCTCTGCACATTGCCTCGCTCTCAGCAAACAAACAATGAAGTGGTAGGTAGCCACAGATACAAACACTGGGGAAACTGATATTTCGCGTTTTCCTCTTTTCTTCTCCCTCCACCTCTCTCCATCATGTCACTCACTTTTTCTCTCCTACTCTTCTCCACTACCTTATCGTCTCTGCTGCCAAATGCCAGTGCTGTCCATCACACTGCTGCTTCACGGAGAATGTGTGTGTGTGTGTTTGTGAATGTGTGCACACATGACTGTATGTGTTTGTATATGTTCCTGTGTGCGTTTCATTCTCTTCACTCTTCAGACAGCCATCCCCCACACTAAAACCTTTCCCTTCACAGAGCCGGGACAGGTCAGAGACAGAGACGGAGATGGAGGAGTGGAGAGAGAGGATGAATACGGGTGGGATGGCTGAATCACAAATGGGTTGAACAGCAGCCCAGCGAGAGCAAAGCCACAGATGAGTGAATGGTGTGAGCTTGTGTAAATATCCAAAGTGGAATAAACTTTATTGAAAAGACCCAAACTATAAATGTGGTGTCATCTGATCAAAACCCATCCATCCATCCATTCTCTGTCGCTTATCCGGGGCCGGGTCGCGGTGGCAGCAGGTTCAGTAAGGTAGTCCAGACGTCTCTCTCCCCAGCGACGCGTCCATTTATTGATTTGTTTAAACCAAATTAGTAAAGCTCGACTGATATGGCATTTCTAAGATGGACTGTTACACTTGAGAATAACATATCTAATAATTTTTCAATATAACACAATATAACAACTCTGTTATCCCATGAATACCAAGTGTCACCACATTCAGTGAGTTAAACTTTTTCGGAGTGACTATAAATAAACTTTAAATAAAATTCCCATCCTTTTTTTCAATACACCCGGTCAAAAAGCTGTGGATTAGGCCGTCTGCCATGAAAGGCTTTGGTTTCACAGAATCATATTATAACCAATTACCAATAGTATGTTTTTTTAAATAATAGCAGTAATAATAAATATGAAAATACATAAAACAAAACACTTCGACCCATAAATTGAGAACATTTTAACTTAAATACACACAAAAATGAAACATTTCTTGTAGCAGCATCTACCGAGCGTTCTAACATGAATGCCAATACTGATATATCTTAATACTGGTCAATAATATTGGCCTGCCGATATCAGTTCTGCCCAGTTAATTAGTGTGAACTGCTCTGCCTGAGCTTGTCATACAAGATCCAAATGATGTAACCTGTCTGACTTGTGCCCTAAGCTGTGGATATCATGGTTGTGTCAGCCATACAATGAAGTTGACCTACATTTAAACTTGTGGCTGGAAAAGCAAAGGCAAAAAAGCTAATTTTGCAAGAACATTACTATGAATTTTGTGTCTTGATTGAAGAATTAATTGGTTATCATTAGGTGGGCAAATTCTAAACACAAAGGTTTCTTTAAAACATGGTTTTATTAAAAAAAAAAAATTTTTTTGAGGGGAAAAGGCCTTCTCCTAGTGCTGGGGATTCAGTGAATATCAAATGTTTCCTAAAATTCAGATAATCTGTGGTCAGGGAGTCTCAGATTTATGGATGATAGAGAGGCAGACATAAGGTGCAGAGGGAACAGTGGGTCTGGCTGTGATGGAGCGATGGAAGATGACAGTGATAGAGGAAGCAGGTCATACCTGGAAGAAGTTTGGGGGCATGGGACCACCTGGCATGGCGTCGTTGGGGGGCATGTTGCCCATCACTGGGCTAGGTGCTGCCGCTGCACTCTGGAACACACAAACACAGTGAATAACTGTGGTGTTTTTTTTCTCTCTCTCTCTCTGTGCCTGTGTGTGTGTGTGTCTGTCACTGCTCCACAGTAGCATTTATGTACATGATGCACCAAATTACTACAGGGGGCAGTGTCTGCACCTGTAAATACAAAGCTCCCACACCCCACTTCCATCTAAGGTTTATTGACTTGTGGTTAACTACTTCCCATATGCAAATTAATGTTACGCTGACACTTTGCATTGACTGTGGGAGTACAGGAATGTATAATGGAGTTGTTGTTTGATTTAAAAGATGCCATAAACACTGGTGTTACCAGTACATTAGGTACAGTTGAGTACATCCAAATACAACAGATATGCAAATAATCATGCATTTACACGCTCTCAGTTTTTTTCAGTTTAAATGGTGTTTTTCAGTCGGACTGAACATGTTGATGCATTGTACTGCATTATAGGGCTACAGTGAAACGGGCCATACAGTGTGGGCCCCAAAGAAATTACCAGCTAAGCCTTGCATGTACCTTGCATTACCTTTCACAGGTAATATTTTTATTTTAGTTTTTTGTTATAATTTGTTAATTTTGTTGTCAAAATAGTACATCAAATAGTATTTTTTCCAGTTTTGGTTGTTTTTAAGGTATATTTTGACATCTTTTGAATATTTAATGGTCAGAAATTGACTTTAAGCAAAAAAAAATA